GTTTCAAATGAAAGAAAAGAAGATGTTCTTATTCTTTATAAGCCCGAATATAAGATGTTCAGTGGGAATAGTCAGTCGTTATCAATTGAACTCAAGATTCGATCATTAAGCTGCCGTGTAGTGTATCCTTAAGTGTATGAGGAAAATAAAGAAACTATAAGATAGTTTAGTCAGTGAAAGAGTTGTCTTTCACTGGATATATAGACTTTGACTATGAGTCATACGTGGATTTTGAGAGTCAACATCCAAGTATGTGTTCACACTAGGTGAAGGAGTCAAGACAAGAAAGGTTGTTGGCAAAGTGTGATTGCTAATTCTATCATTAAGAGTTAATGTGTAGCAGCTTGTGAAGCAGCAAAAGAAAGCAACCTGACTCTAGAAAATTCTTAACAGATCTGGAAGTTGTTCCGGGCATAGATCAGTCATAGACACCTAGAAAGTTTCAGGATTGCAGACATATTCTACTTGCTTTAGGACAAGTGGGAGATTGTTGGGAATGGTGTCCTAGAAGCATAAGATGTAATAGGATATTTATTATTTATTTAATAAAAGAGTTTATTCATCAATTTTATGTGTATATATTTGTGAATATTTTATGAATATCAATGAAAATTCCATGATTATTTATGTAACCTTAAACATTGTATATAAGTGTTATATACGAGAGGATAGTGTTTAAGGATAATAATCAAAAAGCAATGTTCATAATGAATTTAACTTAATTAAAATATTATTAATACATGTCATTCCCATTTAGAATGGAACGGTGTTATCCGCACTGTTGATATGGCGAGATATTGAATGAGTGTATTTTGCATAATGAGATTATGTGGAACAAGGACACAGACCCAATATGAATTTCTAATAATTCTGTTAAGTATAGAAATTCTAATTGAGTCTACCGATGGTCATATATAGGATGATCTTAATCCTGAGTTCTTAACAGACTCCTATTTATGGATTTGTGTCTTTTGATTTACTCGGTACGGATTCTGAGATCCTGAATCCTATTCCTTGTATTTTGGAGACATGATGAAGTAGGTAGCCGGGAATGTTATTACACGAGATGGAATCCATTCCTTCTTAAGAAAGAAGTAGATAAATAATTCTCTTGAGGGTTGATTCAGTACTTGGACCGGTAGGAGCTCCGATTCATGAATGTGTTTTATGAATCACTGTCCATTAGAGAATCAATGGTACTCAAGGATAAAGAAGTAATTAGAGAGGTTAACGGATTTTACCTTGCTCTAATTATGAATTATTTATGGAGGATTGATCTATATGCAATGACTATATCAAATGGACACTTCACAGTTTAGAAGTAATTTATGTCTATAATTTCGAGAGTGCAATTCTAAGTTTATAGTGGAGTAACTATTAGAATTAATAGAATTAATTAATTGATTAAAGTGTTTAATTGATTATTAATTTTATTAGAGCTCGGGATTATATGTCCATTAGTCCCCGCGTCGTCCTAGTAATTCTGCCAAACACAGAGGGCAAAATGGGAATTTTAGAATTACGGAATTCTAAAATTAAATACTCGAAAAATAATTAATTGAGAATTAATTATTATTTAAATAATGTGATTATTTAAATTTGAATTTGAATACATCTAGATCTATCCATTTAAACTTATTAGATAAGTTGTTCAATTTAGAAATTCAAATTAATTTAAGTTTGACTTAAATTCAAATATGAATTTGAAATAAAATTAGACTACAGGATAAAGGATGATTTTCTCTTCCTTCCCTATCCAGTATTGGCGCCATACACAGGGATAGGAATCCCTAGCATGGCCGGCCACAAGGGATAAGGGATAAAGGAGAATTTTGGTTCGAAATTCAAATTGGAGATAGAGATTGGATTCTTTCTAGAAGTTTGACTTCTACTCTCTAAATACTATTTTTGAGACAATTTTCGGAATGGTTTTTTACCCTAATTTTAGAGGTGGCCGAAATTTCTCTATAGAAAGAATGAAACAATTTTTCAGCCCTAATTGGTTAAGGCTGGCCGAAATTCTCAAGAGAGAAAGGAAGGAAAAAAATTTTCTCCAAAAATTCCACATCGTGCATGCGATGGTGTTTGTGGAAATTCGAGTGTTTATTGTAACCCGTTTTGTCTCATGTGTGCCCACACACACGTCTTCGTGGATTCTAGGAATTGACGTGGAAGACATTGGTTTTCTAAACACAAAGATTGGAGCAAGGACTGTTCGTGGTCAAAGAACTCAAGTTATCATCCGAGTCGGCTTCCAGGTATTTTTCCTGATTGAGTTCTTGATATATATAAGTTAATGAGATTAATTTATTCGTGCATAAATTAATATAATCTGTAGAGTATCTCAAAAGTTTTATAAAAATTTTTGTTATACACGATCCGCCTCTTCCGCCCGCACCACCGCGCTTCCGCACCCGAATTCGATTCGGGCTACCAACATTTATACCTCGAGACCGACTGCTTGTTTCTATCGAATTAACGAGGTGATCCACGGCACGCTCCATATAGCTAGGTGACGCTCTACGAGAGCTACGACTTGACTGTCTACGTACCACTCGCGATGGTGAGTGTGTATGTTGTCCGCGGCTTTCTTTATGCGTGTCATTTCTCCTATCTGTAGGAGGAACATCGTCACCGTCATTGAAACTGGTTGTTCCTCGCTCAATGGGGCTGCCAGACCTATGTTGTGGTGGAGCATCATCCTGACCATACTCAAAGGCCCTATTTGCCCGAGTATTGGCGAACGCGTAATAATATAAATCGTAATCCAACAAGGGCTTCCTCCTCGCCCTTTCAACATCGGGATGGATCTGTAAATGGAGCAACAAATATTAATACAAAACAAAGCTTCCATTATATTCTAAAATGAAAAATGACATGAATGTCTAACAAATGGACGCCATCTTGTAAATGACATATACTATTAGAAACTTACACTGATAAATTGTTGCCAATACTCGTCAGTGCAAGTGGGTTTCTTTTGAATCGGATGCCATCCAAGTCCGGTGGCAGTACGAAGTAGAAACTCAGCATCAAACGTTTTCTTCAATCTACTGGCTTTTTGTTTGACTTTGTCCCAAGTTAGGGGGACGATAAAAAGCTCACTTAGCTCCGCCGCCGATTGTGTGTATTTGTCTCGGTGAGGGGTGGCACCGACAGAGTTCAATAAATTGAACTCACCTAGACGTCTAAGCAGTTGTTCCTCAACTTCTGGGCTCCAATTTACATCTCTATCTCTCATTCTCGCCATCTATGTATTGACAATACCATAATGGCAGCAAAACATATGTACATAGCATACAAAATTCATTTAATGAGCTCGGATGTTGGAAGGAGGCTCAGATTTGTGTAAAGGCCAATCATCGTCCTATTATGGAGCATTATCCAAGGCTAGGACAATTAGGCTACCAAGGTTTATGTTCAATTAATCTTAGTGGTAGGTTTCCCATACACTCTAAACCCGAACTAAACGAACATTATGCCATGAGTTTATGCATAAACTGGCAACTAATAGGCTGCCAAAGGTTTAGCTAACGTCGGCATATTGCTCAAGCAAGGCATTCAAAGTGAATGAAAGCAACCATACCAACGAAGAGTAATGGGATAAACCGGCAACTAACCATTAACCAGCCATAGAATATCACTCGACATAAGGGACTAGGCCATTAAATACAATGACATCCTCATAGCCAGGTGAATTGCAATCTAGAAACTGAAAAAACCAGAAACAGTTTCTGGTTTTTTTTCTAGAAACTGCACAGCAGGGTTTACAAATGTACATATGAGAACAATATTCAAAAGCGAGGCCAAATAAAATGTAAGTATAGAACGATGCATTGTATAGAAAACATTCTTAACAGACGAACAAGGTTTGTAATATAGCTAACCTAGCAGGTATGCACATAAACTTCACAGCGTTTGTTGAAGTCTAGAGGCTGAAATCACCGGAAACAGTTTCTGGTTTTTTTTTCCAGAAACTGAACAAAAAGGGGTTCCAACATACTAGTGCCCCGATGAAGTATAGAGGCTGAAAGCACCAAAAAAATCACCAGAACAGCAACTATTTTTTTCCACAATACGAACCTAGGCAAAAATGCCATCTAGAAACTGTTCTCAGAATGCAATCTAGAAGAGAAAGCACTAGAAACAGTTTCTGATTTTTTTCCAGAAACTAACAAAAAGGGGTTCCAACATACTAGTGGTCGATGAAGTATAGAGGCTGAAAGTACCAAAAAAATCACCAGAACAACAAATGTTTTTTCCCACAATACGAACATAGGCAAAAATGGCATCTAGAAACTGTTCTCAGAATGCAATCTAGAAGAAAAATCACTAGAAACAGTTTATGGTTTTTTTTCCAGAAACTAAAAGAAAGGGGTTCCAACATACTAGTGCCCTGATGAAGTATAGAGGCTGAAAGCTCATGAAAAAATCACCAGAAATGCCAAGGTTTTTTTTCCATAATACGAACATAGGCTTTCACCAAGATACCATCTGGAAACAGTTTCTGGTTTTTTTCCAGAAACTAACAAAAAGGGGTTCCAAAATACAAGTGATCCGATGAAGTCTACAGGCAGAAATCACCAAAAAAATTCACTACAAATGCCAATTTTTTTTTCCCAGAAGAAGAACATGTGAATTCACCAATACTAGTGCTCAGAATTGGATCTAGAAACAGAAATCACCATAAATATTTTCCATCAACTGAACATAAGGTTTTGGAAAAAACTTACCGAATTCGAGCCTACGGAGGAGGATATTTGGTTCCCTTGGAGATTCCCCAAATGCGAGGAAGGGTTAGCAAGTCTGAGGTACCGATGACGAGAGAGGTATGGGGAGTAGGTTTGACGTCTCGGCTGGAGAGTTTTCCGGCGTGCACTGTTGCCTCTACATCGACGTAGGAGGTTTACCCACCGAGATCGCCGCACCGACGAAGTCCCAACAAATTTCTCCATTTTGAAGGGGTAACAAACGATGACAATGGTAGAGGAAGGGGGTCGATGGTGTGGGCGACGATTTTGAAATCTGGAGATTGGGGGAAAATGGCGCAATGGATTGAGGGCTTCAGAAATCAAATGAACGTTGAAGGAGCAAACCCAACAACTATGGTCAAACGATTTTGAATCTCGCTAACAGGAGAACCACGTGATTTGCAGTGTAGAAAGAAGAGCTGAAAGCAAGTTTCAGCAACAGTCAGGAATTTGCACTGTAGAAGTGCAGAGAAGTAACTCAAGTGGCAAGGGTCGGTTGAACTCAAAAACCGGTTGATAACTCGAATTAATTTTTGAGTTCCAATTCGAGTTTTGCACAACCGAACGTGAACTGGGCTTACTTTTAGCACTCGAGTGGGCTTTCTCGAGTAAGCTGAAGTAAACGAACATGCCCTAAAACTCTTAGTTGAAATTCTAAAAAAAAAAAAAGAAACTTCTCCCTCCATTTTTTTTTCTTATCCCTAAGCTGACCAGGAATTTGTTTAGCACCGGAGAAGAAAATAGACGAATTGATAAGGAGAGAAAAAGAAAAAAGAAATAGAAAGGATTAAGGAGTTCAGAGATAAATTTTAGGAAGAAAAAAATGAGATAGAAAGAAATATGATAATTAAGGCTCGTTATTCAAATTTTTAATTTTAAATTTTTATAATAAAAAATTCTTAAAAAATGTCACATTTAAAATTTTTTTTATTACAGTAACCTCAACTGAGGCCTTAACATTTATTTATAGTGGGCCCCACGTAATTGATCAGCTTTTAAAATAAACAATGGGTCCCACAAAAGTCAAAATCAGTTGCTTTGTAGAATTGTAACTATATCCTCTGGCAGTATATGTTTCAGTATGAGGCGGTGCACGTTCAAATTTTATAACCGCAGTTGAAAGCCAATAAGAGTGGAGTCAAAATCAATTTTTACATTTTCTACGGTAGTTCAAAAAGAGAAAGTGCACCAGAGAAATTAAAACTGAAAAACTTTTTTTATTTTTTATTTTTTATGTTTCACTAAATTCAAAATTGACTAGCACTAACTTTATTAGATTACGGCATCTACTTGGCTTTATAGTCAACGGAAGAGGTACATGGTGATGAGTAGAGGTATCTTAGAATTTTGATTTTTGTAATTCTTTTTTTTTTTTCAAAAATTCAAGTTATACTCAACTTTTTTTTTTTTGGCTTGAAGTTATATTTTAGTATTGTTTATTTCACCGATTTAAATTTAAAATTTAAATTTTATTATAGTAAAATATTTTTTAAAAACAGTTAAATTTAACTTTTTTGTTATAATAAAAAATTAACATAAAGTTATATATTAACTCTAATTAAAAATTCGAATCAGCTAAGTAAAGAGATCCAATAATTAAAACGTATAACGGTGACTCCATTTAACTTAAAGAAAAAAAACTAATTTTTTTAATAATGCCCCACTAAAAAAGGGTCTGGCTCCGCAACTGCCTATATGTGAATGTAATTAGATTGAGACTCGGTTTTTCTCATCACATCTTGTGCGTAAAGAGCTCCTGAAACATTTTGGTCTTAAGAAGTGTGAAACTTGACTCTTGGTTTTGGATCAGTTGGGCATGGCTAGCGCAGTGCAAACTGTGTGTGGGCAAGCGTACGGAGCCAAGCAATACTCAGCAATGGGAATCATTTGCCAAAGAGCAATAATCTTGCACTTGGCAGCTGCAATTCTCTTAACATTCGTCTATTGGTTCTCAGGCCCAATTCTGATCTTAATGGGCCAATCAGAAAGCATTGCAGATCAGGGCCAAATCTTTGCTCGTGGTTTGATCCTCCAACTCTATGCATTTGCCATAAGCTGCCCAATGCAGAGGTTCCTTCAAGGCCCAGAACATAGTAAACCCTTTGGCAATGATGTCTGTTGGGGTTTTTCTTGTCCACGTGCTTCTCACGTGGCTGGTTGTTTATGTCTTGGAATATGCTCTTCTTGGTGCAGCTCTTACACTTGGCTTCTCTTGGTGGCTTCTTGTCATTATGAATGGGCTTTACATTCTTTTTAGCCCAAATTGTAAGGAGACTTGGACTGGCTTCTCCTGGAAAGCCTTTGGGGGAATCTGGCCTTATTTCAAGTTGACTCTTGCTTCTGCTGTCATGTTGTGGTATGTATAAAATACTAAACGACTCAGTTCTTCTATCCAATTTTAATATTTCACATGGTGTTTAATCAGTTATATTATGCCACAGTATTTAAAATATTCAAAATGCTTTTTCAATGATTTTCTTTCCGAGCCCATTAAATGACGTGATATCATGTAATTATTTAGACACCAATAATAACACTCAAAATTAGACAAAAGATCTGAATCTATACTAAATCATCTCTTCGCGGTTTTTTTTTTTTTTGAGCAAAAGAACCAATAAATGAGGTTTTATGATGTGTTTAATGCAGTTTGGAGATATGGTACAACCAGAGACTGGTTCTTATATCAGGACTCATTACCAACCCCACAATCTCGTTGGACTCCATTTCCATTTGGTATGTCTATGTTAAGGCCACATAGAAAATTCTTAGTAACAAGTTTCTATTCTGACTTTAACTTCAGCATGAATTACTTGAACTGGGACATGCAATTTATGTTAGGCCTAAGCACAGCAGCCAGGTAAGTGACAATTGGGTTCTTTCTAATTTTTATTTGTATTAATCACATAATGTCATATGGTTGGTATAAAAGTCAATTGATTAGTATAACTATAATCTTCTACAGTAGTATATATTATAGTAATAAAAAAAACTTGGGTTTTGGCTGATTGCAGTGTCCGAGTAAGTAATGAGTTGGGTGCAGGGCATCCAAGAGTGGCAAAGTTCTCTGTATTTGTAGTGAATGGAACAAGCATCCTTATTAGTATTGTCTTTAGTGCAATTGTTTTGATATTTAAAGTTGGATTAAGCATGCTTTTCACAAGCGACTCTGAGGTTATTGAGGCAGTTTCTGAGTTGACCCCATTGCTTGCCATCTCTGTTTTCTTGAATGGCGTCCAACCTATACTTTCAGGTGCAATAAACCTATCGGCAATATATAAAACCATTGCGTTTTTTTTTTTTTTTTTTTTTTTTTTTTTTTAAATTAGAATATTTACTTCCAGGTCTAGCTTTCTGAACTATAGATTTTGAACTAATGTTAATAATTATTTCTTTTTTTAGGGAATAAATTGTTTATTTTTAGATGTAATCTAGTATGAGAATGGCATGCACTTGAAGGTTAAATTTTAAGAGAGATAAAATAGAAATAAAATGAGCCTATCTTTTTAATATATAATAATAAATATGGAAAAAAATAGCTATGATTTTGAGAAAGTTTATTATTTATGTCATTTTAAATAATCGGGTGCCATTGTGGTTTTTTTTTTTTTTTTTTTTTTTTTTTTTTTTTTTTTTTTTTGTCTTCTCTTCATTAATTAAATAAGAATTTTTTTTAATAAAGTGACATAAATTTCATTTTTTACCCTGATATTTTTAATTTTTTTTCCAAATGTGGGGTGTGTCAAATAGAAAAACTAGGTGGCACAATTTTTCCAAATGTGGGGTGTGTCAAATAGAAAAACTAGGTGACACAACCTAGTCTAGATAGTCTTTTTCGTTTTAGAATAATTTTCTTTAAGATTTGTTTTTTTTTTTTTTATAACCATTTTAACCATCTTACCTCACTATCATCTTTGTGCTATAGTTTATTAACAAAATGATCAAAATTACGTATTTCAGCAACATTAAGTTAAGTAGACCTTTAAAAGTGAATATCAAGGATTCAAAGTAAGACAAATGAATATTTTCAAATCATAATCTAAAATCAGTTTCTCATTGTTTTTTTTTTTTTTTTTTAAGATTATTTTTAATATTTGGAGTAAATTTTGTATTTTGATTTTGATTTTATTTTATTTATAGGTGTGGCCATTGGAAGTGGATGGCAAGCTGTAGTGGCATATGTTAACCTCGCTGCATACTATATTATTGGTCTTCCAATTGGGTGTGTTCTTGGGTTCAAAAGTAGTCTTGGAGTAGCAGTAAGTTGGAACCTCATTCTCTCTCTACTATTTCTACGGTTGACTAGAGCTTTAAGATGACACAATGGTTGTCTTTTTGTAGGGTATTTGGTGGGGAATGATTATTGGAGTTCTTTTACAAACACTGACTCTAATCATTCTCACTGCCAAAACAAATTGGAATGCTGAGGTAAAGAAAGTACTGACTTAAGGAATCAACCTTATTCCAAGTTAAGTATTTGCAATTTGAGGAAGGTTTTTGATCAAATGGATGCTTTGTTTTTGTAGGTTGCAAAAGCCGCTCATCGGTTAAGGACGTCCACAAATGATGAAAACCCGGAACTGATTAACAGCGCCTGAAAACTTATTGGTGTTCGTCACTTCATCTTCAACTTCTCTAGCATTTTGGTTTTGTAATCCTCTGGTTCTCCTTCAACCAGTATAAATGAGTTGGTAAAATATTTCCAATGCTTGAAGAAAAAATATATTTTTTACTGTTCACCATGAATGTAGTTTTGACATTATTGATGCTGCTATGGAGGGCCATAATGAAAGAGATCATAGCAGGTGGTAGTAAAGATTGCAAAGTGATGCTTGAATTTGAATGGGAAAAATGGACCAACAATGAAAAAAGTTGAGAAAAAGTTCAAGAGAACTCAATAAAAGCTTCTTTTGGTAAATCTTGAAAGTGACAACATATTACTAACCAGACATACTATAAACACATTAGATATATAAATGAAAAATAAGCAATCTTACCCCCAAAATAATAATAATAATAATAAAATAAGCAAATGATACAGATGATAGTATCACTATCATCAAACCATGTTTAATGTAACGATCAGAGCAAAACTGACATGCTTAAATGCCACTGTGATACAATTGAACTATTTCATTCCGATATACAACTCTCAAGTGTTCACCAATCTCCGTTGACCAGTTTGTGTGGACTGTGAATACCTATACCCTAAAATGCTAAAGTAATTGATAAATCAACATAATTTTAGCACATGAAGAGCTTCAAGGCTTTCTTGATGATCACCAACTAAATGCGTCAACTCATTTTCTTTCTCATTGTGAAAATTCGCGCGTGACAGAGCATCATATTCATCATCATCATCGTCATCATGGCAGCCATCATCATCCCTGTCCTCATGTTCATCAACAAACTTGGAAACCCCTTCATTGCTATATTGATCCTCGAATCCCACAAGTTGGTTAGCTTCCCTCTGTTCCTCTGCTGTTTTTGCCAAAGACAAAAGGATGTTCTTCGCCTTCTGATCGGGAATAAGCCCACAAGATTCCATTTCGTTGTACCAAACAATGGCGCTACCAAAATCCACGTTCTTGCCATATGCATCCATAATTATCGTCAATATCTTCTGGTTTAACTTGATGCCATTTACCTTCATTTCCTCGTATTTCTCCATCATCTTCTCTAGATTGTTTGTCCTGGCATACCCTTTGAGCAAGGTCGCATATGTAATCTCATTGGGTTTAAGTCCGTCTTGTTTTAGCCTGGTGAAGAACTTTTCAGCACCCTCCATATCGGATGCATTCACATAAGCGGATAACATAGTTGTATAAGAACAAAGGTCTGGAGTATATCTGTCATAAACAAAGAGTTAAAGAGAGAAAGGGGAGTTAAGAAATCAAAGTAAATGACAAAAAGAAAATATACAAAGGCACCTATTGATGGAAATATTATCTAGATTTAATTCTAATGCTACAGAAGGTGGACAAAGAAACAGTCTAAGCATACCAAAGAAAAGTAGTATGGATATTGAAGTATGTCCTCAAAAGAAACCACCAAATGGTAGGTCAACATTACACTGGCTACATTAATAAGCACAACAACCAAAGATTGTACTTTATCCAGAAAGAGGAATCTGCGTACATCGACCAGAAATTTAATCCGTCTTCTGATGCAGAACTTATGCAGAATTTTACCTGTCTCTTCTCATACTCTTAAAAACCGTCTGAGCTTGCTCCACCATTCCGGATATTGCAAATGCATCCAACAAAATGTTGTAAGCTTTGTGGGTTGGCCTGAAGAAAAAACAAAGTCAGAAGAACTATAATTTTTTTTAATCAATGATTAGAGACATAGATATGAAGAGTTTTATCAAAGTACATTAGAATTAGCTTTATTTAACTAATAGGTCGCATTTTAAGTTTGGTTGGTTCCAAATCCACTACGCGCTCAGCTTGCTGAAGTCCAAAGTAAACTTTCCCCCACCCCCCTACTTTTGGAAGTGATCCAAGCTTATTGAAAACTAATAAGCCTCCAATACGCTTTACGTATGCTAGGCGTGCTTGGCACGTGGGTTAAGCCCCTGAGGAGAGATACTTGGGGCTGGGATGTTTACTATCCGAATATTCTAGTCGTTATTGTAGTGTTTCTTTTGCTGTTAGTACTTGAGGTTGAGGGCCAAGGGTACAAGTGTCTTTTTCTGTCTTTGTGTAATAAAAGAGGGGAGTGTGGTAGTGTGAAATTAGGCCGTTATTGTGATAGTGTTGGTCTCAGGGAGAGAAGCTGGACCTCTCGAAAGTTCAACAACCCGTATCGGTGCTTGGAAGATTCCAGTATCTAACACTATCATTTCTACTCTGTTTCTTTCTCTATTCTTGTGTTTTCTTAATTTCCATCCGTGCTCTTATCAAAAACATCAAAGAAAAGAATGCTGATATGCAAAATAGGACTCGAAGAAAATTTCAAAATGTTGGGCACTGTATCATAAGAAAATTTAATGTTACACACCTAACATCAGCATCGAGCATCTCCTCGAAAACAGCAAGCGCTTCTTCCTCCCTTCTAGCTTTACCATATGCATTAATGAGCAAGGCATAGCTCACCACATCAGGCTTGAGACCCGCTCTTTGCATCTGTAATGAGAAATTTGTCATTAAATATTGTCAGAAAGTTATTAAATAGTTGATGTAAAAGATCAACTTCGTCAAAGACAACACAATGTTAAGGAATCAAAACATAGACCTCCAATATAGGCTATAGCAACGTGGCATACCGATTATACTTCCTGTTTTTAGCATAAGAAACTTATTAACTAGAAGACTTCTCATTGATCTTGGTAAACCCAAACCCAGCATAACAAGCAAAAGAACTAAAGCAGAATGCTACGAATAGCAAAAGGCACCTTAACTGCAGAAAGCTTCTATTTAAACAATAGATCCAATAAAACAACAAAAACTGATCAGGCAACTAGACCTGCAAAGTAGTAGTTTAGGATCAAAAGTATCAGGGGGTGTTTGTTGCATATACTCAAACTCAAACCCATGATTCTGCTACAGTGTAAAGCTCTCATAAAAATTTGAATTTCAAACGTCAAAATCAAGAATCATAAATTTGAGTATACCTCCCAAACACCCCTTAATGATTAGCGACTACATGACATATTCCAATTAAGCTAGTTGAAAATAAAATCAAATATTCTGCATGTATTTACCTGGTCATATATCTTGGAGACCTCCTTGTAATTGGTTTCGAACGACATTAGGCTATTATATGTAACTGTTGATTGAGGAACTCCTCTCTCAGCCATTAGTGCAAATAATCTACGAGCCTTCTCATAACTTCCAGCCTTCTTATGCATATAAATCATCATGTGGAACATCTTTTGATCTGGCTTCAAAGGTGGCTTCTTGTCATTCAAAAGGGTCTCAAAAATTTCTTCGGCTTCCCTGAACTTACATACCTGAAGAACCTCCAGTTACACTCACAAAGTTGCAAAAAAAGACAATCCAATGAAAGCATGTACAATTAGGTAAAACATATTCGTAGGATTACCGAATGTTAGTAAAAACTATGCACCGGATTGAAGTAAAAACTGCATTTTCTAAGCTGGCATGGTGATAGATTTTTCGCACACAAAGAGCACTGATTATTAGTAAATTACATTTAAATAGCAAATTGTCGATTATGATAGATTTTATCTTCTATTTATTACGGATAATTATTAGGAGTGTTATCTTTTAATAAGAGATTTGAATTAATATTCAAATCTTATAGCTTATCTTATTAGTTTATCTTATCCTTTAGAAGGGATAATTAGTTTCCTAGCTTATGGCTTATCAGTAGCTTTCCTTACTTCCTATATATATTCACGTGTACTCTTTAATAAAATATGCAACCTTGATTATTCTTCTCAAAACTGTTATGGTATCAGAGCCACGGCTCAAAACCTAAATGTTGGAGATTTTGTCAATTATGTGTAAATATTTATTCTTTCTGTTTATTGTATGATTTAGTCAAAATAGGAAAGTATAAATTAGGAAGATATTGTAGGATTGTCTAGCGTAATTTAGGGATTCTTTCCTTAACTTTCTCTCTTAATTGCCGTGACCAATGGCTTACTAAGTGTATATATTCTGACAAGGTCAATGAGAATCATAAAGCAAGAATTATTCTTCTCTCTGTTTCTCTTGTTTCATGGTATCAGAGCCACCGAAACTGGTGACTAGTCAAGAAAACAGAAAAAAAAAAAAAAATGTCTGAAGAACAGCCGAATACGCCCTCAGAGGAGTCTTCAACAGCAATTGATCAAGCATCTCTAAGATCTATATCCGGAGCCTCATCTACACACTCGCTGGACAGCCACTCGCTGCAAATCACACAGCACAAGCTTAATGGGCTGAATTTCCGAGAATGGTTTCAGTCCGTCATTCTTGTTGTCAGAGGAAGAGGGAAGGTTGGATACTTGACAGGAGCAATCACAGCACCACCGGACACAGCACCAAACTACCGCACTTGGGAGGCAGAAAATTCGATCGTCATGGCATGGCTTATTAATTCTATGGAGCCAAAGATTGGAAGAACTTATCTGTTTTACAAGACAGCGAAGGAGATTTGGGAGGCAGTCCAAGAAATCTATTCCGATCTTGAAAACACGTCTCAATGTTTCGAGATTAGGTCAAAAATCCGCAACACCATACAGGGGAGTCTTACTGTCACTGAGTATTATAATTCTCTCTTAGAATTATGGCAAGAAATGGATCTCTTTTATGAGATTGGATGGCTGTGTGCTACTGACGCAGAAAAATACAAAAAAATGCTTGAGAAAGAGCGTACCTTTGATTTTTTGCAGGGCTTGAATCCAGATTTAGATGAAGTACGTGGACGGCTACTTGGGATGAAACCATTTCCAACTCTCCGAGAATCGTTTGCTGAAGTCAGGAGAGAAGAAAGCAGGAAACGAGTGATGATGAATCCCTCTAGTCGTGACATGCCTTCCTTGGAAACACGAGGGTCTGCACTTGTGGCAAACAAACAAGATGGCAGTCGTGGGTTTCAATACAAACAAGATGGCAGCCGTGGCTCTCAATCAAAGGACAAGGTCTGGTGTGATTATTGTAACAAGCCCTATCACACTCGTGAAACTTGCTGGGATTTACATGGCAAGCCACCAGATTGGAAACCAAGGAAGCAACGTGGGCAATCAAGTTCAGCCCACATAGTGGAGTCGAAATCAACCCGCAGGGAGGAGACAGAATCGGACAGGGCTGCTGGTTTTAATCTCTCAACAGAGCAAGTGGAGATGCTACGGCAGCTTCTCAACCAAACTCAGGTTTCAACAGGATCCGCAAATCAGACTTCAAAACCTCCCACTGCAGCTATGGCACAAACAGGTATAATGAGTCAAGCATTCCTGTCAAAATCTCTGCAAGCAGACTGTTGGATTGTGGATACAGGGGCTTCTGACCATATGACCGGGTCAATGGAGTTTTTTGAGCAATATGACAGGTGCAATAACCTAATTAATGTCTGGGTTGCTGATGGAAAAATGTCACCTGCGGTTGGAAGGGGCTTGGTTTGTTTACCGAATATGACATTGAAATCGGTTTTACATGTGCCCAAATTGACATATAATCTTTTGTCAGTTAGTAAATTAACAAACGATCTTAATTGTGTTGTGACTTTTTTCTCCTCTCACTGTGAATTTCAGGACCGTTCTTCGGGGAAGATGATTGGCATTGCTGAGAAGAAAGATGGCCTATACTACCTCTTAGGAGCCAGGAATTCCAGTAGAGCCGAGTCACAAAATAAAATGTCCATGTCAGTTATGTCTAATTCTGATATTATGTTATGGCATCAACGCTTAGGACATCCAAGTTTTTCTTATATGAAAGTCTTGTATCCAAATCTTTTTATCAATAAAGAGAAAGTTTTGTTTCATTGTGAACAGTGTGTCCTTGCCAAACAAACCAGAGTAAAATATTCACCTCATACATACAAACCCTCTAGACCATTTCAGTTGATTCATAGTGATATCTGGGGTCCGTCTAGGACAGTTAATTTAACTAAAACCCAGTGGTTTATCACTTTCATAGATGATCATACTAGGGTTTGTTGGATATACTTGATGAAAGATAAATCTGAGGCATTTTACTGGTTTAAACAGTTCCAAAAGTTTGTCCAAAATGTTTTCCAATCCAATATCCAAGTTCTTCGAACAGATAATGGGGGGGAGTATTTTTCAAATGAGTTTGGCCAATATTTGGGGGATAATGGGATATATCATCAGAGTTCATGTGTTGATACACCTAAACAAAATGGGGTTGCGGAAAGAAAGAATCGTCACTTGTTGGAGGTTGCTCGATCGATCATGTTTACTAGTTTAGTCCCGAATTCCTACTGGGGGGAGGCAATCCTCACTTCCACATATTTGATTAATCGACTACCTTCAAAAACACTTCAATTCCGAACTCCTCTAAGTGTCCTTCTTGATCATTTTCCAAATGTGAATCTTTTCAATTCTTTGTCCCCAAGAGTGTTCGGATGCACTGTATTTGTCCATAACAAACAACCAAATAGGAGTAAGCTTGATCCCAGGGCTTTTAAATGTGTCTTTGTCGGATATTCTCCAACCCAAAAAGGCTACAAATGTTATTCTCCCTTTCTCAAGAAATTTTTTGTCTCGTGTGATGTAACTTTCTTTGAGGATCAACCATTCTATCCCACCACTCGTTTCCAGGGGGAGAATGCCAATGAAAACGAGCATTGGGATCCCACTGTATCTCTTCCAATATTACAAGATGTGTCACAAGAGGCCTCTAGTTCAGCCTCTAGTTCACCACCAGAAAACTCGAGTCCAATTCCTGTCCCTAATCCTAGTTCGAGTCATGATCAAGAGATGGTGCAGCAACCCATCTCTGAGAGACCATTTCAGGTTTATTCTAGAAGGCCAAAAGCTTCTCAACAAGTCCAATCATTGAACCAAGAATCGGATCCTGGTGAAAGCAGTGACTTGAACGTGCCAATTGCAATACGGAAAGGGGTAAGAACATGCACAAAGCACCCTATCTACAATTTTCTAACCTGCACAAAGTTGTCTTCTGGGTTTAAGGCTTTTATAGCGAAGATCGATAATGAGAGAATTCCCAAAAATATCCATGAAGCCATTAAAGATCCAAAGTGGGAGAAAGCCGTGCAGGAGGAAATGAGAGCATTGCACGATAATGAGACTTGGGAAGTAGTTGACTTACCAAAGGATAAGAAAGTAGTTGGAAGCAAATGGGTCTTCACAGTGAAATATAAAGCAAATGGAGAAGTAGAGAGGTATAAGGCTCGATTAGTAGCTCAAGGCTTCACACAAACATATGGGATTGATTATGAAGAAACGTTTGCTCCTGTGGCCAAACTCAACTCTATCCGGGTTCTTTTGTCTCTTGCAGCCAATCTGGACTGGGAACTACACCAACTTGATGTGAAGAACGCTTTTTTGAATGGCAATCTTGATGAAGAAGTGTATATGAAGATCCCACCTGGATTCGAGTCAGAAGAGGAACAAGGAAAAGTTTGCAAACTGAAGAAGTCATTGTATGGTTTGAAACAATCTCCACGTGCATGGTTTACCAGGTTCAGTTCTTCTCTCACTCGACTGGGATATACTCAAGGGAAGGCTGATCACACTATCTTCATTAAAAGAGGAGAAGGTGAAAAAAGGGCCATTCTTATTGTGTATGTTGATGATATCATACTCACAGGTGATGATACTGTTGAGATTCACAACCTCAAGAACCAATTGAAGGAAGAGTTTGAAGTTAAAGACTTGGGACCCCTGAAGTACTTTCTCGGTATGGAAGTTGCTAGAAGTAAAGAGGGTATCTTCATTTCTCAAAGGAAATACACTCTTGACCTACTAGAAGAAACCGGGAAACTGGGGTGCAAACCGGTGGGAACTCCACTTGAAAAAAATTGGAAGAGCAAGATTAAAGATGATGTGCCTTCTGTGGATATAGGAAGATATCAACGGCTGGTTGGTAGGTTGATCTATTTGTCTCTCACACGGCCTGACATTGCTCACGCTGTAAGTGTAGTAAGCCAGTACATGCACTCACCTACTCAGAGACACCTAGAGGCTGTGAACCATATCTTGAGATATCTCAAGGGTACTCCAGGAAGAGGATTGATGTTTCTGAAAAATGAGAACAGAAATATCGAAGGGTATGTTGATGCGGACTGGGCTGGAAGTGAAGATTGTAAGTCAACTTCGGGATATTGCACCAAGCTATGGGGTAATTTGGTTACATGGAGAAGTAAGAAACAAACGGTTGTGGCAAGGAGTAGTGCTGAGGCAGAATTTCGGGCAATCGCACAGGGAATTTGTGAGGTTATATGGCTGGAAAGATTAATGCAAGACTTGCAAATCACAGTTTGCTCTCCCACCAAGGTATATAGTGATAGCAAATCTGCAAT